GGTTGCCAGCATCATCGATCATCGGCACTCGCGAATGAAGAGCGCCCGCTGCACTTCCTGCACAAGTGCGGATCCTTCCGCGAGGGTGGAAGCGCTCGTTTCGAGCGTTTTTCTTACGCCGGGTCACGTGACTGCGCTTGTCTGGGCCTATTACCAAGCTAGCAAGGGCGTGGGAGGGTTGGGAGCATCATCTGTGATTGGCGCTCGCGAATGAAGAGCGTCTGCTGCATCCTGCACATGTGTGGATCCTTCCGCGTTTTGGGGCTAGAAGCGCTCGTTTCGAGCGTTTTTCTTCCGCCGGGTCACGTGGCTGCGCTTGTCTGGTCCTATTACCAAGCCAGCTACTTCATGGGAGGGTTGCGAGCATCATCGGTCATCGACGCTCGCGAAAGAAGAGCGCCCGCTGCACTACCTGCACATGTGCGGATCCTTCCGCGTTTTGGGGGTGGAAGCGCTCGTTACGAGCGTTTTTCTTCGGCGGGGTCATTCGGCTGCGCTTGTCTGGGCCTATTACCAAGCCAGCAAGGGCATGGGAGGGTTGCGAGCATCATCGGTCATCGGTGCTCGCGAATGAAGAGCGCCCGCTGCACTTCCTGCACATGTGCGGATCCTTCCGCGTTTTGGGGGTGGAAGCGCTCGTTCCGAGCGTTTTTCTTCCGCCACGTCACTTGGCTGCGCTTGTCTGGACCTACTACCAAGCCAGCAAGGGCGTGGGAGGGTTGCGAGCATCATCGGTCATCGGCGCTCGCGAATGAAGAGCACCCGCTGCACTTCCTGCACATGTGCGGATCCTAGCGTGTTTTGGGGGTGGAAGCGCTCGTTCCGAGCGTTTCTCTTCCGCCGGATCACCTGGTTGCGCTTGTTTGGGCCTATTACCAAGCCAGCAAGGTGGGCGATCAATCCAGGGGGGGTGTATCCAGGGGGGCGTTTAATAGAGGGGGGCGCTAATAAGTAATATGGATATGGTCCACGTGATTTCTAGACCAACCAAGTAGATAACTGGTTTTAGTTGGTACTTGTACAAGTGAGCATAAGTAAGATCGGGGGAGCTGGTAGTGAAGCAAGCATCCCTCGTGTAATATGAGAAAATCTACGCTTCGTCAGCGCTTTGGTGCCGACCGACGGCCGAATCTCGAAAACTCTGAGTTACTCCGTTGCCATTCGCTAGCGACATGCTTGTGGGGACCACCGAAATCCTCTTCTCGCATCCGTCCTGCTGTGACGCATCCTTGCTGACCAAGTCAAATCCTCCAGGCCGTCCCTGATGATGGTGTTGTTGATGGTGCTCTTGGTCATGCTGGGTCGTCTGCCTCATGAGATCCTGAGGTTCATTCCGTTTGATGCCTCCCCCCATCCCTCGGTCGATCCCCTGTGGCAGCCGAACATCGCCCAAATTCCACTCTTCACTGGCTCCCTTGAGTTCAGCATAGCTGATGCTGACTTTCATGGCTTCCTCAGCTTGCCATGGCTGCTGTCGAAATTTCTCGGGGGTGCTGCTTATCGTAGACTACGATCGTTACTTATTGTTCAGTATAGCCATGAGGGGAATAGCATATCTCGATAAGGCTGTTTCAGCATCATGCTGATCTACATATTGATACGATTTAGTTTCTGAAGCCTGAATATAAACCGTACTGCTTAGCTCGGAAGCTTGGTTCTGGTGATTCTTAACCTCGAAATCTAAAATATCTCCATCGTTGTGGTTGTCGCGATTCCTGATTCCGTTACTTCAAGTATTTAGATTTTGATAGGCTGTTTTTCAACAGCTTATGACGTCTCGGCTACCCTTTACATGGCGCGTATGTTCCGTTTAAGCTTCGTTTTGAGATAGCCGAATCTGTCATCATGAAACGTGAAGCACGTCAATCGACGCCAGCGCGTTATCGGCAGTGTCAGGAATGACATTCGAAGTGCTTTCAGCATCTCAGGCGATACCGGAAGCATTACCAGGCGGTCCCGTAAGCGCATTCAGACAATACGGCCGGAACTACGGAGTCTTAGTAGTACCTCCCCAGTGCATCTCTACGAGAGAACCTGCTGGAGCTTCAAAGCTAGCGTCGCTGATCTTTAAAGCTCCGTAGTCACCGTCGCTGCTGTGCTAAGCATCGACCGTCGCTGCTCCGCTGTTCCACAGCAACCGTCGATCATCCGCTGAGCTCCATAGCAACCGTCGATGACCCGCGGAGCTCCATAACGAGTCGCTGATTCGCCAATATCCACAGCGACCGTCGCTGATCCGCTACTCAGCTCCATAGCAACCGTCGCTGATCTGCTGAGCTTCGTAGCACTCGTCGCGTGCAAGAGTGATCCATGACAGCCGATGACGTTGCTGCTCACGGATGGTTCAGCCTAGCAGCAAGGCGACCGGCGTCACGGTGACTCACGGCGACACATTGAGCAGCGAACGGCTAGCACCGAATAGCCTGTTGGCTGGTAGCATCGTGCGACGATCGGCGAGTGGCGGTATTTGGGGATTTCGAATCACGAACAGTGGGTGACGACTGCCTAACGGCGGGAAGCGAGATGGTTAAGGACGAACGGCGAGCGGCTAGCAATGTGCAATGATCGGCGAGCGCCATTTGGCGAATGGCGATTCATTCGAACGTTGAGCGTCATGCGAGCGGCGGCGAACAGTACGCTATACAGCGTGCGCGTGAGGAAGGGTGGCGAGATATGGACTGCGAGTCGCTGTCACACCGAGAGTCGCTGTCTCGCCGTGAGTCGCTGTGACGCCGTGCTTGGCGCTGGTGATGAGGAGCACCAATCTTGACGACCAAATGCGTGCGACGTTGGGGATACTGGCGACTACGCATGCGACGGTGGCGGATGATGGCGACCAACCGCGTGCGACGGTGTGCGAATGGCGACTTACTGCGTGAGAAGCTGTGCGGAATGGCGAAGAGCTGGGTGCGACGATGTGCAGAATGGCGCGACGATGTGCGGAGTGCGACGAGCTGCGTGCGACGTTATGCGGAATCACGACTTACTGCACGACGGTGTGCGGAATGGCGAGTTGCTGCGCGGGACGGTGTGCGGAACGGCGAGTTGCTGCGCGCGACGGTGTGAGGAACGGCGAGTTGCTGCGCGGGACGGTGTGCGGAACGGCGAGTTGCTGCGCGGGACGGTGTGCGGAACGGCGAGTTGCTGCCTGCGACGGTGTGCGGAACGGCGAGTTGCTACGCGCGACGGTGTGCGGAACGGCAAGTTGCTGCGCGCGACGGTGTGCGGAACGGCGAGTTGCTGCGCGCGACGGTGTGCGGAACGGCATATTGCTGCGCGCGACGGTGTGCGGAACGGCATATTGCTGCGCGCGACGGTGTGCGGAACGGCGAGTTCCTGCGCGCGACGGTGTGCGGAACGGCATATTGCTGCGCGCGACGGTGTGCGGAACGGCGAGTTGCTGCGCGCGACGGTGTGCGGAACGGCATATTGCTGCGCGCGACGGTGTACGGAACGGCGAGTTCCTCTGGACGACTCATTTTCTGCGTCCACGCTTCTCCTGTAGCTAAGTCTCCTCTCCGCACAGCCGTCCTCCCCTCCCTTTCTCCTTCGCTACTCCCAACTCCCTCTTTCACTGCTGCCAAATTTTAACCCTTTCACCTTACCGCCACTTTACCTTGTACTTCGTGTTCACATTTGCAAGAACCCTTTGTACTTTACCGCCAGCTTCTGAATCCCGCTAAGTTCCCTCCTCAACCCTTGCCTTCCTTACCGCCGCTTTACCTTGTAATTCCTGTTCACATTTGCCCAGCCTCTCTTTTTCAAAACGCCGTCTTCGCATGAAGGTATTAGAAACGTTCTCGTGGCGATGGTAGCACATGGCACTGGGGCGGCTTGAGCTCACACTAGAGTCCTAGAGGGTTAGAATGCACTCACACTCACGCCCGCGTCTCGTCCCCCTTGCCTGCTAGCTCGCCAACCTAGTGCCATGAGCTTCCATCGCCTACCCTTTCACTGTGCCACCTGCTGTTTAACTTCCAGCGTTTACTCTCACAGTGTTATGCCTCCGTTTTGTTTTCCTCCCGGTATCCCTGCCCCTTTACGATTTGTCAATCACGCCCATGCTTGTATTAGACTAACTTCCTCAATTCCTGCCCCCTTCTGCCTTCTCTCCTCTCTCCCACTCGCTCCCTTTTCTCTCCGAAACTTTCCCCCTCTCGCACAGGGCTGTGGCAGCGTGGTGCGGGAATCGAGGGCGGTGGGATGACGCACGGCAGGCAGTCACGGCGGCGTGCGTGCCTCCTGCATGCCCTGCTGACCACGCCGCTCCCTCACGCGCGCAGCGACCTTGAGTGCTGCTGCTGGGAGTGTTTCTGCTGGGAGTGTCGCTGCTGGGAGGGCTGCTGCTGGCATTAACAAGGCGACGAGCAGCTTCTGAATCCCGCTAAGTTCCCTCCTCAACCCTTGCCTTCCTTACCGCCGCTTTAACTTGTAATTCATGTTCACATTTGCCCAGCCTCTCTTTTTCAAGCATGCTTCGAACCAAAACGCCGCCTTCGGATGAAGGTATTATAAACGTTCGCGTGACGATGGTAGCACATGGCACTGGGGCGGCTTGAGCTCACACTAGAGTCCTAGAGGGTTAGAATGCACTCACACTCACGCCCGCGTCTCGTCCCACTTGCCTGCTAGCTCGCCAACCTAGTGCCATGAGCTACCATCGCCTACCCTTTCACTGTGCCACCTGCTGTTTAACTTCCAGCTTTTACTCTCACAGTATTATGCCTCCGTTTTGTTTTCCTCCCGTTATCTCTGCCGCTTTACAATTTGTCAATCACGCCCATGCTTATATTAGACTAACTTCCTCAATTCCTGCCCCCTTCTGCCTTCTCTCCTCTCTCCCACTCGCTCCCTTCCCTCTCCGAAACTTTCCACCTCTCGCACAGGGCTGTGGCAGCGTGGTGCGGGGAGGGAGGGCGGTGGGATGACGCACGGCAGGCAGTCACGGCGGCGTGCGTGCCTTCTTGCCGTGCCTTCTCCCCCACCCATCCTCAGGGCGAATGGGTGCAGTGCAGGCGACAGAGCAGCAGAGCGGTGGCTGCAGCAGCACGGCAGTCGACACCAGTCAACGCCAGTCAACTCCAGTCCTCGGCACCGCTGCGATCACTGCCATTATGGTACGGTATGCATCCCTTCAACTGTACACGCACTCTCCTTGAATGCTATTTCACCCGCTCTCTCTTTCACTCCTTCATTTCACTGCATCTGCTCTGTCCTTCGCTTCTGTCTGTTGCTGCTGGCTGCTCTATCTGCTACACGGCCTGATTGCTCTTCCTACTGCACTCACAAAGATTTTCCCCCAGTGAGGTGTCCAGTGCGAGTGGAGGTTCAGGGAAGTGTTATTCCTCCCACCCTCTTGTCATATTCCCAGGTTGACTTGTCATTTTCGTGTTGTTGCCTTTGCCCTTCCGTTCTCGCCTCGTCCCTTATTCATTTCCCTCCTTTCCTCGTCCCTTGTTCCTTGTCCTTATGTCTTCTTCTTGTCTTCTCGCCCTCACAGCCCCCCAGAGCAGGGGCGCCTCTCCCTCACAACCCCCCATAGCAGCGGCGCCTCTCAATCACAACTTCCCAGAGCAGCGGCGCCTCCTCCTCACACCCCCCCAGAGCAGGGGCGCCTCTCCCTCACAACCCCCCATAGCAGCGGCGCCTCTCAATCACAACTTCCCAGAGCAGCGGCGCCTCCTCCTCACACCCCCCCAGAGCAGGGGCGCCTCTCCCTCACAACCCCCCATAGCAGCGGCGCCTCTCAATCACAACTTCCCAGAGCAGCGGCGCCTCCTCCTCACACCCCCCCAGAGCAGGGGCGCCTCTCCCTCACAACCCCCCATAGCAGCGGCGCCTCTCAATCACAACTTCCCAGAGCAGCGGCGCCTCCTCCTCACACCCCCCCAGAGCAGGGGCGCCTCTCCCCTGCTGCAGCTACAACTCACCAGAGAGGAGCGGGCGCATGGCATGATGGGATGGCATGATGGGATGGCATGATGGGATGGCATGATGGGATGGCATGATGGGATGGCATGATGGGATGGCATGATGGGATGGCATGATGGGATGGCATGATGGGATGGCATGGTGGGATGGCATGGTGGGATGGCATGGTGGGATGGCATGGTGGGATGGCATGGTGGGATGGCATGGTGGGATGGCATGGTGGGATGGCATGATGGGACGAGTCACTATCAGCCTCTACGCTTCTTCATAGCTAAGTTTCCTCTCCGCTCTCTTTCACTCTTGGCAATTCTCAAGGCACATTCGTCCCTTGGCGCATGGTGGTGGTGGTCCGTGGTGCTATGGCAGCAGAGCTCATGTAGAGTGCAGTGTAGTGGGAGTGGTGGGATAGAGTAGTGGAGAGGGAGTGCATTCATGCCATGCGTGCGTCCCCCAGTCCCCCCCCGCTGGCTCAGCTCGCTGCTCTAGTGCTGTGGGCCACTGTCGCCATGCGCCTTCCCCGTTCCCCCTCCCACCTCTCAATTCTCGCTGTAATACACATGCGCATCCACGCTATGCTTGCTGCTTCATTTATTCTCAGCTCGTTGCCTGCCCTCTGTTCGAGTCCAATCTCCTCGCATCTCCTTCTCCCCCATGCGTCCTCCGGTCTCAGGGCGAATGGAGTGCCGGCGGTAGAGCAGCAGGGTAGTGGATGCAGCAGCACGGCTCCATTCAACCTCAGTCAACATCAGTCAACATCAGTCACTAGCAGTCCTCAGCACCCACACCCGTGACCTCATTGCCATAGTGGTATGGTATGCATCCCTTTACCCGCACCCACACTCTTTTACGCTCCCGTCACCCCCATCACCCCCATCACCCCCATAACCCCCATCACCCCCATCACCGCCATCACCCCCATCACCGCCATCACCCCCATCACCCCCATCACCCCCATCACCCCCATCACCGCCATCACCGCCATCACCCCCATCACCCCCATCACCCCCATCACCCCCATCACCCCCCTCCACTCCTCCATTTCACTTCGTCCGCTCTCTCCTTTGCTTCTGTCTATTGCTGCTGGCTGTCCGCTGCTCGGCGTGATTGCTTTTCGTGGTGCACTCACTCTGTGCGGTCTCGTGCGGTGCAGAGGGCGTGGTGGCTCCATTGCTGCACGGGCCTTGCTGTTCCAAGGGGAGGCAGCAGAGGGAGGAGGTGCATGGACGGGCGGCAGTGGGATGACTAATGGCCGGCACTCACTACGTGCCCTGCTGACCGCTGCTCACCACCGCATGCGCTCATGCGCGGAGGGGGAGTGGGCGGCAACGGGATCTGGAGGATCAGGGAAGTGCTCCCTCCTTAGCTCCTGTAAGTTTCTCTAATTGGCAATGGGAACTGGAGGATAAGGGAAGTGCTCTCTAATTGGCTTGTCGTTTTCATGTTTGCTGCGGTTGTATTTCCCCTCGTCCATTTTGCCTCGTCCCTTATCCTTCTGTCTTTGCATTCTGGCTTCTTCTTGATTTCTCCACGCCCTTTCAAAGCCCCACCCAACAACTCCCCGTCACTTTAGGATTTTCTCCTCCTTTTTGCTTGCAGGGAAGCACTCAAACAGCACCAACAGTGTGTGGCGACTTACAGAGTGGGACGTTCCGTGTGCGGCGGTATGCACAAGCCAGCAGCCAACCAATCGCACGCCACATGCAACCGATGGAGACGAGCCGCATGGGACGCTGCTGCTTGCTGCTGTCGCCCGGGAGGATTTCTGCTGCCCTGCCTTGGGCGACTCGCTCTCTGCGTCCACGCTTCTCCTGTAGCTAAGTCTCCTCACCTGCCCTCGCTCGCTCCCCATCCTTCCCAACCATCCTCCCTCGTCCCCCCTCCGTCTCTTTTGCTCTTGCCAAATCTCTTCCGTTCCCATGCGCGTTCACCCCTTGGCTCATGGTGGTGGTGGTCCGTGGTGCTATGGCAGCAGAGCTCACGTAGAGTGCAGTGTGGTGGGAGTGGTGGGAGAGATTGGTGGGAGAGGGAGTGCATTCATGCCATGCGCGTCCCTCTCTACCCGAGTCCCCCCTCGCTGGCTCAGCTCGCTGCTGTAGTGCGGTGGGCCACTGTCGCCATGCGCCTCTCCCGTTCCCCCTCTCCCCTTCCCCCTCCCCACTTCCTCCCCCCCTCCCCCCCTCTCTTCCCACCGCTCGATTTTCGCTGTGCTTGTGCTTACTATATGAGTTTCTCACTCTTGCTCCCCACTTCTTCTGCTCTATTACCCACCTTGACCTGCTTTCTGCCCACATCTGAGTTTCTGCCTCCAATGCTACTCCGTTCTTTACTGCGCTTTCTGCTGCATACATTCAGAGTTCATATCCTGCCCTCTGCCCTAGGCCATTCCGTTTGCTGCATTCCCCCCCCATCCATCCTCTGGCTTCAGAGAGGTGGATGCAGCAACATGGCAGTCAACATCAGTCAACAAAAGTCAACGCCAGTCATCATGCCATGCCTGAACAATTGCTGCCATCATGGTACGGTATGCATCCCTTTCACTGTACCCGCCCCATCTCCACTTTAGAGCTGTTGTTGACCCCATGGCCGAACTATTGTGACAATGCAGTAGTTACAGCGCCATGAACTTGGAATATTTATAACACTGCAGTAGTAGTGGCAGTGCCATGAACTTGGGACAATAACACTGCAGTAGTAGTACTAGTGGCAGTGCCATGAACTTGGGACAATAACACTGCAGTGGTAGTAGTGGCAGTGCCATGAACTTGGGACATTAACACTGCAGTAGTAGTGGCAGTGCCATGAACTTGGGACATTAGCACTGCAGTAGCAGTGGCAGTGCCATGAAATGCCCTTAACACCCACCACCCAGGGTGATTGCACACTACTCATGTTACTCCGTACCGTATTTTTTTCGAAGGCAATGGGGTGTGACAAGTCGTGACCGCTGGAATGTGTGAAGAATGGAGACCGCTGTGTGTCTTAGGTATGAATTGCACGTTTGCTCATTTCTCCATTCCATGTGCTAATTTCCCAGCTTCGGGTATTCAGCCCCCACCTCACCCGCCCACCTAATGGATTCAGCCCTCATCCCTCCTCTCGCACCTACCCACCTTGGGGGTTTCCGTCCCTGTGCCTCGCACACCGCCAGAGGAGCACACCTGCTGATGGATGTCGGTTGACAACAGTCTTTTTTTACACCCGTGAACATCCCCAAGCACCTGGTTTTCCCAACCTAACGCCTCTTCCCCGCAAGGACGGTAGGAGCGCCTTGGGGGGAGCGCATTGGAAAGCGCAACCTGCCGCGCATGACGCTCCGCCGCCCTCTGTGCCGCAAAGAGGCGCGTGAGTCCCGAAAACCCGCGGAAGGCGCGGACGTGACGGTAGTCGCGGTGATCTGAGTGACTGGAGCGCAGCGAGTCATCCACAGCATTGGATGCATTCCGGCGCGCGCGCGCAGCCATGATTTGTTGCTCCATATGCGCGGGTGCGAGAGGAACGAGATCAGCGTCAGGGGCTATCAGTGCGAAGGGTCATATCGGCAGAACGAGAGGACGGCCGGGCACTCGGGAGCGGGGTGGGACGAGCGGACGCCATTCAGGCTGCGGAGTGAGGGCGTAAAGCAGGGTGCAGGGGACATGAGAGGATGACTGAATGCACTGGCGAGGCGTGAGCGAGGGAGGAATGATGCAGCTAGTTGGCAACTTGTTCTTGATAAGAGGTGCTCCGGTAAGCAACGTATGCTATATACACTATTGAAGCGCATACAAACATTGGCGGTAAACAACGTATGCTATCAACAAATATAGATATAAACGGTGAACAGGGAGCTTGTATCCTGGAGAGGCAGGGGTAGAGTGTGGTGAGGTGGGCGGAATTGAAGTGGAAGGAATTGCTGTTACCATTTCGCTCAAAACAAAGGCTTTCGCTAAAAACGACCGTATTGGAATTGTCAAAACGTTTGGGGTAGGATAAAAAACAGGGCGGATATGTTTTGTATTATCTTTCTTTCATTCAAAAACAGGCATTCCAGCCCAGTTGATTATTCCACCTTGCATCGAAGGCACTGCGGTCTGCTGTTCACCTTCGGGATGACGCCAAGCCACGCCACCGTAGAAGTTCGGCGCCACTGAGCACGCTCAGCCCACAACATTCATTCCATCAACACAGACAAGTGGTTTGGAGAATGTGGGGCACCGAATTGAAAGAAAGTTCCAAGGAAAGCGCGCGTAGTTACTGGAATTGGGCCAAGCCAATCCATCTGAAATCGTTTCACACCTCACGGAGAATTGATGGAACTGATCTGTACTTCACAAACAGGCTTGCGATAGCAGGCCAATGTAAGTGGAAATAAATGCTATTTAGAAATATGGACGATATGAAATAAATTGCACACTCACAAAATGTTTTACTCTCGCGGTCTGTTCTTCAAGGGGCACATGCTTCTGTCTTTTTTGCGACTGTGTCAGAGCACGTGGCAGCGTGTAGCACGTGGCGACTGTGTTATGAATCATTGAAGCGCGCCCTTGCATGATATCTTTGCCCGCGCTGTCCGAAAGCTGCCCCATGGGTGTCGCAACGTGAGCCGTCGTGTTTTTCTACACTAGAAAATCGACAAGAGCGTCCTTGCCCTCACCTCCCGAGTCTATGCCAGCTGTAAGTACTAATCATGCGTCTCACATGACGGGCACGGAAACATGCAAGCAGAAGTTTCGTTTGGAGTTTCATTCTTCAACATTTTCTCCCTAACTTCTACGCCAAAACTGTACACCTGTGGTTAGAGATGCGTGTACATCAGGCCTGTCGATTGACGGGCATATGCCCTTAATGCCCTGAAATTCCGGGCTACTTTCGCTCCAGCTTGACTGCATAAAGTGTTAGGATCGCCCTGACCCGTGCCACTAAGTGCTTCGTTCGACCCTTCCCCGGATGTGTTAAGTGCTCCAACCAGGCCTTCCCCACCCACAAAGTTTTGATTTCCGGATCTAGGACCCCCCCCCCAAAGAAATTCTGCCTGACCCCCCCACTCCCCCCCCCCCCCCCCCTTTTCTCCTTAGGTTGCACGAGAGCACGCCAAGGGGATTTTTCCCTTAGCGTTTTCTAGCCAATCCCGTGTTTGTGATATCTCTAAGTCAGCTTTGGAGCAGCCGACCTTTCCCTTTGAGCTAAGATAGTGTGAGTGCAAGCCCGGATACCAAGTTTTCACTTTGGCCTGCGCCCGTGACCGTTAAGGGCGCCAAAACACTCAGCTACGGCCAATACAGGGTCAGATAGGGAGGAGCTGGGGGCTCCAAGTATGGGCCCCAGGAACTTCGACAGGCCTGGTGTACATGTGCTTGCCTTTTGCTTGGAGGACCTTCCCAAACTTGCTTCCCTAAAACTTTATTGGCTGGTAAGTGTGAATACGATCAACCGTAACACATTTTGTTCCTTACCAACGGCTTATTTGCTGGGATACGCAGTCAAAACCGAGTGCAAAATTTTCAGAATCGTAATCCTACCGAACACGCAGAATGACCGAAGTCGACCTCAACAGTTTCTCGTCATCGAAACAAAAACGCATATGATATTTTCACACAGAACCTGACCAGTCCAGAATTTGTACATAGTGTATTATTATACACCCTATTGGGGGTGTGAGTGGTTGAGACGTGCTGATGCTTGGGGGGGAGGAAAAAATGGGCATGAACACACACTTAACTCCTACACATCAACAAATTATTGGGGAAAAATCAAACTGGAAAGTCCATGAACGCCATATACTGCATACGACAAAACGGCATTGATAAGCTTGACGCGTCCGACCACGCACACAGCCGTAACTGCCCAATCCATCAAATTGTAGCCCACTGGGATTAAAGTTTATGATGACTTTCTTGTCCTTAAGCTCCATGGACAACATCCTCAGTCGCTAGTGTTACAGCAGCACTGTAGCAGCCGTATGGAACGTGGACGGGTGCACGTGAAGCCGCTCCATCAAGCGCGTCTGAGGTGATGGATCGAGCTTGGTGTGGTGTGGTGTGTGGAGTGGATGACTCTGGCAGGCAGCCTCAAAGAAATCAGTTCAGATGAGACGAGACACATGTCGGTTCGGTTCAGGTATAAGGAGGTGTGGTGCGGTACGGTAGCAAACCAATCACCAACCAATCCATCGCCCTACCTACGTTCCCATCACCAACCTCTCGGTGTGGTCGGGGAGGCAAGTCCCAAGGTTTCGAGAGGAGAAGACAGCGATTGGCCGGGCGACCACTAGGGCCCCACCCACACATCCATTCCTCAGCAACAGTGTTACCATGGACTTACCCGTCCATCCCTCCCAGTCAGTCACCTTCGCGCAGCGGGTGATTTTTCCCTCCCACACTCATCCCGCAATTCTCTGCGCTTCGGCTGTGCTCCTCGCCCCTTCCTTTCGAGCTCACAAATCCCCCCAAAGGCCCCCGTCAGTCCAACTCCATAAAGGCCAACCCAGCTGTGGTTCCTCAGCAGTATTCACCCGGAAAAATCGTAGCAGATTTGCTTCTGAGAATCCCAGCCTGGCAACTTCACCTTCCCGTCACGACTCACGAACCTTAGGATTGTGCAATCTCTCTCGCCATGGGTGTCAGTCTATCCGAGCTGTTTGCGTTGGGCCCTGCGGCAACTCGTCGCGAGCAGCGCCCAAATGACTCCGACCTCGCACACCCCGACGCGCTATCCAAGAAACGCAGGATAATCGAGAACCTTAACTTTCCCCCAACTCACGCCGCATTCGACTCCAATGCGCTCGCGCCCCCGTCCGCGAACCCAGTCGTTCCCTCCGCCATCCCCGCCGCCGCCGCTGCCGCAGAAAGCGCGCCCAAGCAGATAGACTTCTTCAAGGCGCGGGAAGACACGAATGCGCTGCCCGGGGCAGAAGAAACTTCCAACGGGCCGTCGTTGAGCGATCTGGGAGAGGATCTCCTGTTGAAGATTCTGCAGGAGGGACAGCCGACAGCATGGGATCTGTGTCGCTACGCGTGCGTGAACGCCACGTGGCGGAAGCTGTGCTACAGCCGGGTGTTCTGGACCAAGCTGCGCATCGGCCCGGGCAGCATGCATGCGGGCGTCGAGCAATTAGCGCCGCGTTGCGCGCAGCTGACGGATTTATTCATCGACGACCCGCGCTGCGAGCTGCACGTGCTGCACCCGATTATAGTCTCGTGCGGCGAGTCGCTTCGCCACGTGGTTATCGACTGCGATCAGGACAGCACGAGCCGGAACGAAGCGTCAATTTGCAGTATTTTATGGATTATCTCGCTCTATTGCAAGCAGGTTCAGAGTATCGAACTGACGTCAGGGGGGGTAGAGACGTCGTTCGGGGCTCTTGAGACGCGGTGCATGTGGTATCTCACTTCGGGCTTCCGGAACGTGCGACATTTCGCGAGCCTTTCGCGAAACAGCGTTACGAAGCAGGCGATTTACCTCATGGTGATCGCGTGGAGGGACCTGACGTGCCTGCGAATTCACAACGGCGGGCTAGAAGTCGACGATCTTTTCGCCCTTCGCAAATGCGCGGGCTTGCGACTTCTGGAGCTCTTCGGCGGATCCATTCAAACCCCTGGCGCTCTCGCGAACAGCTGCCCGTTCGCAGCGGCGTCGGGCGCAACTGTTTTCCATCGCGAGCTCGAAGTTTTGGTTTTGACCGACGTAGATTTCGACGCGGGGGCAATTGCGACGATCGCGCTGCACTGCCCGAAGCTGCGAAAGATTATCGTGAAGGGCGTTTGCTGCCACGCATGCGGAAGCAAGGTTGTGCGCGGCGGCCCTGAGGGCGAGAAAGCTGCGGAGGCTGCGAGCGCCTGTGCGAAACAAAAGGTCGCGCTGCTGCGACAAATTCTGTCGCTGGCCGACAGGTTGGAAGTTTTGATGCAGTGATACGCGTTACTGGGATTGACATGATGGATTTGTTAGTGGGTTTGGATCCAAGGCGCGTCCGCCATCCCGACCCTGATAGTGCTCGATAGGGAGGTCATCGACTAGCAGAAAAGCTGAGAGTGCTTATTTATTGCATCTGTCTACATGTGTGTGGTTCACTTGTGACTATTCAATGCAGATTTCCCCAACCACCTCTCTGGAAAGCAGGGGCAACAGCACAATGACCAAGGCCTCTAGGAGGGAAATGAGATGTGGAACACAAGGTGTAGAGGCAAATAGCAGGCTGGAATAATCTTGCTCTGGAACACCAGTAGAACCACCTGGATCATTCCCTTCCACGTAAGCCTGGAAAACAACTGACCTAATTGTCTTGCATTCCCTGCCCTTCAAACTGCCCTAATCCTTCGAAGCTGCCCGGAAAACAGTCCCGGTTTGGCGAGAGAGAGGCAACGGGCCTCTGGCGAGCGAGGGAGCGTGGGAGAGGGGCGAGGAGGTTGGACGAGGCAGGGGAGGAGGACGAGAGGGAGGGGTGAAGAGGGGTGGAGGGAGACGAGTTGGGAGCAGAGTTGAGGGGAGACTGGGGGGAGGAGGCTGGGGGGGAGGGGTGGGGGGAAGGCTGAGAGAAAGGGTGTGTGGGGTCGGTTGGGGGTAGAGGGATCTGGTGTTGTGAGAGACAAGAGACTCGCAGGATGTTGGAAAGTCCATTTGACTCAAACCCTCCACGAGACTGTTGGGGATGTTCAGGACTTGATTGATTCTCACTCCCTGCACGCGCCTCGCAACCCCCATGGCCCCACGGTAACCCTGTTACCGGGGTTGTGCCATGAGCAGCTTGCGCTGCTGGTAAGAGAGTGTCGGAACGAGTGACACTGGCTGCTGCGGCTGCTGCTGTGGGAGAGGAGCGGAAGAGAGAGGAGGGGGACGGTGGGGTGTGCCCAAGGTGGAACCCGTAAAAAGTTTCTGTCACCTGCCCGGTGACCTCCCCCTCCCAGTCACACCCAGCCCCTGCTGCAGCAGCAGGCTCAGCGCAACTCCTCTTACTGCCAAAACCCCCACCCTCCCCTCCTCCCCGCCCCTGCCCTCTCTTCCTCTTTCCACCTGGATTTCCTCCTCCAACACTCACCATCCCTTCCCCAGGCCCGCCCTCCCCACCGCTCTCCTCCATCCGCTCTCTTCTCTCCTCGTTCTCCCCTCCCTCGCCGCCCTCGCCGCCCCCGCCCTCCTCCGCCTCCTCCCCCCCACAGTACACGCTATCCACAACAGCAGGGCTCATGGGCCGGCATCTGGGCAGCTGAACGTCCACAACTTTTCGTGCCGGGCAGCCCGGAACGGAACAACCGAAGTAGAATCTGGAAGGGTTGAGGGAAGGTGTGCCAGGGAGGTGGGTTCAGTTCGGATTGCAATGGGACCATTGAGTTACTTACAAATTCTGAAGCTTACAGCATAAATCACATGTGCAACCAACTGGAACAGCATTGTGAATTGAATTCACAAAAATCAACTCAACTAAGACAATAATCACCCAACCCCCTGACCTCCAACCCTGTGCGTGCAACCTCCCCTCCCCATGAACACCGAACCCCACCCTTCCTCCATTCTCCCCCCCCCCCACCCCCAACTCAACCCCACCCCCCCACTTGTGCACCCGCTCACCTCTCCATGCGCCTGCCTGTGGCAGCGTGAGTGATCTCCTTTCGCCCTGTCTCCGCCCAAGCGGCCTCCCCTGCTGCCTGGCTGGATGGGCTGGGGGGGGGAGAACGGGGAGGAGAAAAGAAAGGGGAGAAGGGAGCAGTCGGAGGGAGATGGGGGATTTCTGTGCCGGCCTGTGGCAGCGTGAGTGATCTCCTTTCGCCCTGTCTCCGCCCAAGCGGCCTCCCCTGCTGCCTGGCTGGATGGGCTGGGGGGGGGAGAACGGGGAGGAGAAAAGAAAGGGGAGAAGGGAGCAGTCGGAGGGAGATGGGGGATTTCTGTGCCGGCCTGTGGCAGCGTGAGTGATCTCCTTTCGCCCTGTCTCCGCCCAAGCGGCCTCCCCTGCTGCCTGGCTGGATGGGCTGGGGGGGGGAGAACGGGGAGGAGAAAAGAAAGGGGAGAAGGGAGCAGTCGGAGGGAGATGGGGGATTTCTGTGCCGGCCTGTGGCAGCGTGAGTGATCTCCTTTCGCCCTGTCTCCGCCCAAGCGGCCTCCCCTGCTGCCTGGCTGGATGGGCTGGGGGGGGGAGAACGGGGAGGAGAAAAGAAAGGGGAGAAGGGAGCAGTCGGAGGGAGATGGGGGATTTCTGTGCCGGCCTGTGGCAGCGTGAGTGATCTCCTTTCGCCCTGTCTCCGCCCAAGCGGCCTCCCCTGCTGCCTGGCTGGATGGGCTGGGGGGGGGAGAACGGGGAGGAGAAAAGAAAGGGGAGAAGGGAGCAGTCGGAGGGAGATGGGGGATTTCTGTGCCGGCCTGTGGCAGCGTGAGTGATCTCCTTTCGCCCTGTCTCCGCCCAAGCGGCCTCCCCTGCTGCCTGGCTGGATGGGCTGGGGGGGGGAGAACGGGGAGGAGAAAAGAAAGGGGAGAAGGGAGCAGTCGGAGGGAGATGGGGGATTTCTGTGCCGGCCTGTGGCAGCGTGAGTGATCTCCTTTCGCCCTGTCTCCGCCCAAGCGGCCTCCCCTGCTGCCTGGCTGGATGGGCTGGGGGGGGGAGAACGGGGAGGAGAAAAGAAAGGGGAGAAGGGAGCAGTCGGAGGGAGATGGGGGATTTCTGTGCCGGCCTGTGGCAGCGTGAGTGATCTCCTTTCGCCCTGTCTCCGCCCAAGCGGCCTCCCCTGCTGCCTGGCTGGATGGGCTGGGGGGGGGAGAACGGGGAGGAGAAAAGAAAGGGGAGAAGGGAGCAGTCGGAGGGAGATGGGGGATTTCTGTGCCGGCCTGTGGCAGCGTGAGTGATCTCCTTTCTCGCCGTCTCTGCCCATGCTGCCTCCCCTGCTGCCTGGCTGAAGGGGCTGGGGGAAGGGGAAGGGGAAGGTGGGAAGGAGAAGGGGATTGGGAAGGGGGAGCAGGGGGAGCAGAGGGAGGAGCAGGGTGAGAAAGGTGGGGAGAGTGGGAAATGGGGGGGCGATGGGGGTAGGGAAAAGAGGGAGGAGGGGGGGCGGGGGGAGGGGGAAAAGGGGTTGAAGGGGGAGACGTTGTGGGAGGGGAGAAGCGGGGCACAACAGAGAGCCAGGGCACTGAGCCATTCACACCAGAGCACACTCAAGTTGATTAATGAGTTAAAACGGCCATAGCCATGCAGGGTACGATGGCATGGGTGAACCTGATGCTCAGTGAAACGATATGGCAATGCACGGACGGAACGTTACGGCAGTGTGTGTGAGTATCAGTAGGTACAAATGGCAGTGAGTGCAGCATGGATTGCATGGGGGCACAAAAACGTTTTCTGAGATGTCTCATAAGGCATGGATGGCATGGGGGCTAACCCGAAAGCAGCAGCCGCGCCGGCTCTGAGTGCTGCTGGTTGCCCATTCAGCCCATTCAGCCCCAGCTCCTTCCCGCCCTGCTGCGCTCCTTGCGGGGATGGTATGGGTGACCCTGATGCTGATGCTGCGCCTCTGCTCTTCCCTGCTGCTTCCCCAGCAGCAGCACCAGAAACAGCAGCATTAGCATTAGCAGCGGCAGTCAAAGCAGAAGCGGCATTAGCATTGGCATCAGGGCTTGCTCCTAGAAGGCTCCCTGTGAGGAGTGAGGGAGGAGAGACCAGCTGGGTCAGGGGCGAGAGGGGAGGGTCCTGGGGAATGCCCAGGTGAAAACCCAGGGGATCGCCGAGTGGAACGGCCAGGTGAAAACCCAGGGGAAAACCCAGGTTGGAACTTCAGGGAGGATCCGAGAGGAGTGGGGGCGGAGGGGGGTGACTTGGAGCCGAGAATGAGTCCACCCATACTGCCATAACGCAGTAGACTCAACAGATCTCCCTGGTGACCCCCATGCCTGGATCCTGGTGACCCCCACTCCCCCTCTCCACCCATCCCCAGACCCATACCACCACCACCAATGCCAATGTTCCCCTCTCCCCCTCCTTCTCCCCCTCCCTCTCCCCCTCCCTCTCCCCCTCCCTCTCCCCCTCCCTCTCCCCCTCCCTCTCCCCCTCCTTCTCCCCCTCCTTCCCCTCCTCCCTCCCCACCTCCTTCTTCCCTTCCCTCTCTCCTCCCTTCTCCCCTCTCCTCCCCCTCTCCTTCCCCTCTTTCCCAACCCCTATCGGCCAAGCCGTTCCCATACCCACCGCGCTGCTGCTGCCCCCAAGCAACAGGAGTGGGCGAGGTGAGAGGCGAGTTGGAAGTGAGCGAATCAACGCGCGCCAGGCGATGGGGGGGAGGGGACCCCGGGCGGCGCTTGGGCGGCGAGAGGGAGGGGCGGGAAAGGGGAGAGGGAGAGCGGGCAGCAGGCGGGGAGGGAGGACGAGGAGCAGGAGGGGAGGGAGGACGAAGAGCAGGAGGGGAGGGCGGGTGGTGAGAGGGTGGAGCGAGGGAAGGGCGAGAGGGAGGCAAGAGGGAGGGGCGATAAACAGGGGAGCCAGTGCGCTGAAGCCTAGAAGCACCACCTGCTGCTGCTGCTGCAGTTGCTGGTGAGTGTACAGGGGAACGTTCAGGACTTAGTCTCTGTACAGCACCAGCTGCAGCAGCAGTAGCAGCAGCAGCAGCAGCTGCTGCTGCCTGTGAGCCAAGACGTGTGAGCGGAGGGGCCAGAAGCCCCCCCATGCTGCCAAAGCGAAGCAGGTTCTGCAGCTCCCGCCCATCCACTGATGACAGCTGTGCCACTGTCTCCCTCTCGTTTCCCCCTGCTGCTGCCCCCCCACCTCCTACCCCTGCTCCTCCTCCTGCCGCCCCCCCTGCTGCAGCCCCTCCTGCCGCAAGGGACCCTAGTCTGGAAAGCGGAGGGGCTAAAAGCCCTCCCATACTGCCGAACCGAAGCAGGTTCTGCAACTCTCTTCCTTCTACTGGCCGCGCCACTGTCTCTCTCTCATTTCCACCCCCACCTGCCCCCCCTCCTCCTCCTGCTGCCCCTCCTCCTGCCGCCAGGGACCCTAATCTGGAAAGCGGAGGGGCCAAAAGGCCCCCCATGCTGCCAAAGCGAAGCAGGTTCTGCAACTCCTTCCCTTCAACTGACGACAGCCGTGCTACTGTCCCCCCACCCTCACCCCCTGCTGCTGCTGCCGCTGCCCCTCTCCCCCCTCCTCCTAGCATCGACAGCCCTCCTGCCTGAATATCCCTGAGGAAAGACGGGAGCTCATCCGGAGGATCCTGACCGTTGGCTTCAGGTGCCTCCCATGCTCCCATCCACGCCGGCCGCGCGTTGCTGCCGGCTGAAAAGGCTGCATCGCCCACAGCCCCAGAACCACCTGCGGAAACACCTGGCTCTGCTGCTGCAAACCCCAGCGGCAAGTCATCATCACCCCCACCACCAGCAAATCCTACCGCAAGAGCATCTACTCCTTCAGCGTCTGTCTGCATCTGAAGGGGGGAGAGTCCTCGCACGCTCGCGAGATTGCCGGCAGTGGAGGCGTCACTGGGTAGGCGCTCTAGCAGACCCTGCCTCGCCAGCATTCTCCGCGCGAAAATTGGCTGCTCCTGCTGCCTTCGCTGCTGCTCCTGTAACTGCTGCTGCTGTTGTTGGTGGTTATGTTGTTCCTGCTGATTCACCATCTGCTGCTGTTGCTGCGACTCGCTCTGCTCCTGTAGTTCTCGCAACATCTGCTCTTCCGCCCGCTTCTGCTCTCGCTCCTCCCGCTCCTTCTGCTCATTCTGCATCCTCAGCAGCTCCTGCTGCTGCTGCTGCCACTTCAGCCGCTCCTGCTGAAGCTGCAGCTGCACCTGTTGCCGCTGCAGTCTCTCCTGCTGCTGCTGCAACAGCATCTGCTGCAGCTGATTCTGGGCCAATCCCGCTTCTATAGCACCCGCATCGTTCCCCAAGCCAGACCCCACGGAATCAGCCACACGCAAAGGATGAATACCCTCGAAACCATTTTCCCCCAGCAATGCCCCTGCTCGGTTCAGCCTACCAAAACCACTTGAATCAGCAAGGTTACCAACTCCCCCGAACCCCCCTGCTCCCTGTGCTTCTGCCCCACCACTCACTCCCCCTGCACTCAACCCCCCTCCCATGCCCCCACCACTCAAAGCCCCTGCACTCAACCCCCCCGTGCTTAGCCCAGTACCAGCACTTAAGCCCGCACCTGGACTCAACCCAGTGCCAGTGCTTAGGCCCATACCTACACTTAACCCAGGGCCAGTGCTTAGACCTACACCGGGACTCAACCCAGTACCAGTGCTTAAGTTAGTACCGGTGCTTAAGTTAGTACCAGTGCTGCCGGCGGGTGAAGAGGAGGGGAACCCACCAGATGACCGAGCAGTGTAGGGCAGGGCAGGCCAGGGTTGTTGGTCTAGGGTTTGGGAGGGAGATGGGGGTGTGTGGGCGGGTGAAGGTGCGGAGTGCATGGGTGAGTGGGCCTGGGGTGATGGGGCGTGGCGCAAGTGCAGTGCTGTGAGCAGGCCAGATGCAGTGGGGGATGTGGGGGAGGAGGTTGGAGCAAGGCCGACTGCCTGGGTGGTGGTGGGGGAATGAGCAGGAGACACCAGCTGCCACTGCTGCTGCCACTGCTGCTGCTGCTGCTGCTGCTGCTGCTGCTGCTGCTGCTGCTGCTGCTGCTGCTGCTGCAGTAGGAGAAGCAACTGTAGTTGCTGTTGCTGCTGATGTTGCTGTTGCTGCTGCTGCTGCTGTTGCTGTTGCTGTTGCTGTTGCTGTTGCTGCTGCTGGTGCTGCTGCTGTTGCTGTTGCTGCTGATGTTGCTGTTGCTGCTGTTGCTGTTGCTGTTGCTGTTCCTGCTGCTGGTGCTGCTGCTGTTGCTGTTGCTGTTGCTGCTGCTGCTGTTGTTGCTGTTGCTGCTGTTGCTGCTGCTGTTGCTGCTGCTGTTGTTGCTGTTGCTGCTGCTGCAGCACTTTTGGCGGGGTAAGGGAGCGAGAGGAGGGAAAGAAAGGGTTGTTCGGGCCAGTAAAAGAGGACCGGCGAGGGATGGGCAGGGGAGCTGACACAGACCTGCCCCCAGAAAGATAAGCAGCAGCGGCAGCAGCAGCAGCAGTCCCAGCAGCATCTGCTTGTGCTCCTGTGCTTGTGCCCGTACCTGCTCCTCCCATACCGATTTCCGCCCCTGCCGCCGAACCTGTTCCTGCCACGTTCCCAGCATCCGTGCCTGTTAGTCCTCCTGCTGCTGCCGTGGCTGTGCTGCTGGTTCGGTTGAGCCGAGGTGCCGGACCGAGCATAGGCACGGTACGAGACAGGTTCGCACCGAACCTGCTACCAGGAGAAATGGCAGCGGAAGTTCCCCCTAAGGGGGAAACGCCAGGTGAAGTGCCAGGCGAAATGCCAGGTGAAATTCCAGGCGAAATCGCAGCCAGGGAAAGGCCTGGAGGAGGGAAACGAGGAGGTAGGGGGGCGGGGCAGGTGTGTGTTGCAGTGGTGACGCTGGCTGTGGGGCTAGAGTGGGGCGAGCAAGGCTGGTGAGGCGATAAATATGGGGAGCTTGAAGCAGCACCACCGAATGCAGTAGCTGCAGCGGCAGTGGCACCAGCGGCGGCAGATGCGGCAGCGGCGGCAGCAACAGGGAGAGGAGCATTTGTAGTAGGTGTTGCTGCAGCGAGCTGATCCAATGAGAGATGGTGCTGCCGCTGCAAGGAACGATTTCCAGCCTGAGCAGCAACCGCTGTGCTGGCAACTTCCATTGGCCCTCCCACGTGGAAGGTTGTGCGAGGCACGTCAGCTGGTGGTACTGCAGTACCTGCTGTTGATCCCTTGGCGTCTTGCTGTGCCAGGGATCCCGTCCTGCTTATAGTGCTTACCCCTAACACCTGCTGCTGCTGCTGCTGCTGCTGCTGCTGATTATGCTGCTGTTGCTGTTGCGACTGCTGTTTCACCTGCTGCTGCTGCTGCTCCTCCTCCTGCTGCTGCTCCTCCTCCTCCTGCTGCGGCTGCTGCTCCTGCTGTTCCTGCGGCGGCGGCATGTCTTTCAGGGCATTCGGTTCTTCTCCGTGCAGTAGCTGCTGCAGCTGCTGCATCTGCTGCAGCTGCTGCATCTGCTGCAGCTGCTGCATCTGCTGCAGCTGCTGCATCTGCTGCAGCTGCTGTAATAGCTCCTCCTGTAACGGTTCATCCGGCAGCGTGCCTCCCTCTAACAGCCCTTCCTGAAACGCTTCTGCTTGTAACGGTTCTGACAATATAGGATGTGCTTGTAACGAACCAGATTCAAGCCCACCCATGGCCCCACCCTTCCCAACCTCCGCCTCCCGAAATGCTCGAGTCAACCCTCCTTCCACTCGCCGTGCCCCTCCTCCTGCCCCCCATCTTGCTCCTCCTCCTCCTCCTCCTGCTCCTCCCATCCCTCCTCCCATCAAGCCCCCCCACGACTGGTCCTGCCCTGAAACTGTGCGAGTGAGCGCACACAATGCTGTCTTGAGGGGTGCTGCGAGGTTTGCAGCTGTTGAGAGCTTTGCTCGCTTGAGAGGCGGGCTTGGGTTTAGCCTGTCATGAGTGCCAGACACCCCTAATACAGGCAACGCCCCACTTCCACCCCCTCTTCCACCACCACCAGTGCCAGCACTCAAGCCAGAGTCACCCCTCACATCTGCCCCTGCTCCCACCATCACTCCTCCTCCCGGCACCCCCTCTCCTCCCACCTTCCCTTCTCCTCCCACCATCTCTTCTGCTTTGCCTGTCTCGTTTGCTCCCATCCCCGCATCCACTCCCCCCCCCATGCCATCTGCGCCCACCATCCCAGCCACTCCCCCCATCACTGCCCCATTCCACCTAACACCTCTACCCACACCCTCATCATCCCTTGTACCTTGCTCCCCCCCAACACTCCCCCCTACCGACCCCTCTCCCCGCCCCCCGCCCCTCCCACTACTCCTTCCCTCTCCTCCGCCCTCCCTCTTCACCAGCGCCCTCAATTCCACTTCCGCCCCGCCCCCCACCCCTTTTTCCCCAACTCTCCCCCCTTCCCCCACTCCTCCCCCGTCCCCAGCCCCTCCCCTGCCTTCCCCACGCCCGCCCCCCTCCCCCTTGCGCCTGCCAGCAGAGAGGGAGCGCGAGCGGGGGGTGGTGGCGCGGGGGGGGGCGGAGGGGGGGGTGGCGGAGCGGGTGCTGGCGGAAGGGGGGGTGGCGGAGGGGGGGGTGGCGGAAGGGGGGCTGGCGGAGGGGGGGGTGGAGGAGCGGGGGGTGGCGGGGCGGCGGGTGAGGCGGATGCGGACGGGCTGGGGGTGGCAGTGGGGGCGCGTGTAGGTGAGCTGCAGGGAGGAGGCATTGGCGCGGTGGATATCCACCACTCGCACTGCTGGACACCTCGTGGTGCCCTCTGGGTGGTATGCGCACCGATACACCACCCTGTGGGGAGGGGAATGGGCAGAAAGTGGGGATGGAATGCGCATCAATGCATGGCGTTGACGAGCGGCTTGTGGCGCCTGGGCGGGTCCCACAGGTACCCGTCTTCTGGCAGCTGCAGCAACCCCCCCGGTGCACCACATGCATAAGCACACCCCCCCCCCCACCCACCCCCTTCTCCCACGCACCGGATGTACATGGAGTTCACAAGAGACTTTTGAGTCGACTCAAAAGCTAAAAGCTGCTGCTGCCACGCAAAGACCATGACTTCTGTCTGGGGTTCGATTGGACTTTCCCCTTCTCCCACGCACCGGATGTACATGGAGTTGACGAGTGGCTTGTGGCGGCGGGGCGGGTCCCACAGATACCCGTCTTCTGGCAGCTGCAGCGCCCGCCAGCTGCGCTCATCCACCTCCGCCTGCTCCCCCCGCCCCCCCTGCTGCGCCCCCTCCCTGCCACCCTCCCCTTGCCCCTCCCCCTCCCCCTCCCCCTCCCTTACCCCCTCGCCCTCTTCTTCCCCTTCGTCGTCCATCCCCACTAGTATCTCCTCTCCGCGGCTCAGCATGGCTTCGAACGTTCTGATATGTTGTGCGATTGGTGCAGGGCAGGGGACGGTCAGATCAGGGGAGGGGAGAGAAGGAACAGGGACGACTCATTTCCCTTGCTGATAGCGCAGAGAGCTGAGTATATCATTTTGAGTGCTGAGCTCTCTCTCTCTGCGATCAGCAAGGGGGATTTTCTCAGTACTCAAATGCAGAACAATCAGACTTAAAGCACCCACGCCGCAGCAACCCACTCACTTGTAGTCCAGGTCTTGGCCCCCCCCTTCACCCCCCTCCGCGCCCTCTCCTCCCTCCATCGCAACCTCCCCAAACTGCATTGGAATCCGCGCATTCCCCCCCTCTGCCGCGGACTGGCCTTCCCCAGCTGCACCTGCACCGCAAAAAGACAAGGGTTGGAACGGTGAGACGAGTGGGAAAGCGAAGGTAGCACATGGGGGGAGACTGAATCATAGTGACGGCAGGGGAGAGGTGGGGGAGGACGAGACGGAGGATGAGGAGAAGATAAAGTCTGGGGAGGATGATGAGGAGGAGGAGGAGGAGGAGGAGGAGGAGGAGGAGGAGGAGGAGGAGGAGGAGGAGGAGGAGGAGGAGGAGGAGGAGGAGGAGGAGGAGGAGGAGGAGGAGGAGGGGGGGGGAGGAGGAGGAGGAGGAGGAGGAGGAGGAGGAGGAGGAGGAGGAGGAGGAGGAGGAGGGGGAGGAGGAAGGGGGGGAGGAGGGGGAGGAGGAGGGGGAGGGGGAGGGGGAGGGGGAGGGGGAGGGAGAGGGGGAGGAGGAGGAGAAAGAGGGGCGGACGATGATAGCCTCACCTCCGTCCATCCCCGCCTCCCCATTCCCCCAAGCACCACCCGCCATCACAGAACCAGACGCCGCAGCAGCAGCGACAGCAGCAGCAGCAGCAGCAGCCATGCTTTGCGACGACGCGGACAGGTCTCGAGGCGGAGTGACGGAGCGCTGGATGGTGGGCGACGCGGGGCTGAGGCCCGCGTGGTTGTGGCGCCCGTGGTACCCCACGCGGATCTCGTGCGGGTTGGACGGATGCCGGTCCACAAGCTTGCGCGCCGGACACGACCCCTTGGCCGCGCTGCAGTAGCTGCACCGGTAGTACGACCTTGTAACGGGGATGACAGTTGGGAGGAAAGGGCGAGCGGAGGAGGGAGATTGTGCGAGAATGCAGGGTGGGGTGATTGAGAACGCGAGTGGTGGGATGGGGTACTAACGAGCTGTTTGATCCTCGATATAAGCTTGAGCACCGATAAAAGCACTCACCGCACGAAGCTGGAGTGCAGCAGCACCTTCTGCCCGTACTTGGTCCACCGGTGCCCGTCGAACACCACGTCCGTCTGCCGCTTCGACTCCTGCCCCACGTCAACCCCCATCGCTCCGCTACCAACCAGGCCTTCGAGCCGGAGAGTTCCAAGCACGAATTTTGCTAACTACAGAAGCCGCGGCCTCGTAATGTCTCCCTCCACTAAACGGTGCTCCTTGCGTCGAACACCACGTCTGTCTGCCGCTTCGACTCCTGCCCCACGCCCACCCCCATCGTTACGAAATGGCATAGGAGACGTCAACTATATCGCGTATTCGTCAGGTATATGTATTCGTCAACTAATCATCTGCGCCCGTGACTCGATACAGTATCCAGCTCGATATCGCCTCGCATTCTTGTCGTTACTATCCCAATCGCGATAGTCTCAACAGTTTCCGGGCGGAGGCTTCTAGACGGCTGCTCCGAAACGAGTGTTTGCATGCGATTGCTTCAAGCGACCGCTCTAGTCGACCGCTCTAGTCGACCGCAATCGACGGATCCGCGCTTAAAAGCTTCCTCAGGAATGGAGGAATCTAGCTTTCATGTATCGAATAAAGTTAATGATTCGCTTCAAACGCGCCGACAAAGGTAGCATTCTGTTTGTCACGACGGTCGCCATACTGCCGCATTACGTTACCACGACTCGCGCCGAAGGCGAAGAGAGCTTTATCGGGAGGTGGTTACGGCAGGACTAAGAATAGCTCGATCAGGCAGCATAGCGCGCGCTCGGAGAAGAAGCATAAATGGAGCCGTGAACTAGTGGGGGAAAGCCAGTCGTATTCAACCTGGGAGCAGGTTGTTTGAGATGAGAAGTAATCGACGAACTGAGACCGCGTCACCGCGGACCGCGGCTTGAGAAGGCGACAATAGTCGTGATTCTGCAGACCTTGGCAAACTTCTTCCGAACGCCGTGTGGCAAAATCACGCGGAATAAGAAATGATGATGGGAGGAGCCAGACTTGAGTGTTGTGACTGATGGAGACTGATGGGTTGCTTGCACTGCGCGTTGCGCTGTCGTTCTGTGGGCTGTGAGTCACTGGGCACGTTTCCAGGCGTGATGGGTTTTGGTTTGGTGGCCTCTACGTAGGGAATCACGAACATGCATCCGAACCGAGAGTGATTGGGTGAAGCGCGGGAAGCTAACCCAGACCTAAGCCCAGCCAATTGAAAAGCGTGACGGAGGGACGTTCGGAACATGCTAAACGAACCGGTGTTTGGTCTCCAACCAAACCTAGGCAGACCAGCAAATCTCCAGCTATTATTCTTCAATCTTTGCACGATAACCCGATAAAGCGTTCGAAGCAGAATATGTGCTGCGTAAATGTACGAATCTCTGTTTGCGGAGAAACTCTGTAACGGGAACAGCTGCTAGCGCCAGACTGGTGGGTAGGTGGCGGGCGGATAGAAATGCTTTCGCCTCATTTCTTATCGCGACTGGTCTATGTAGTCGCCACTATTTACCTACCAGTCGAGCCCGGAGGTTCCACGCGCTAATGTTGTTCCTCTAGTTGCTCCGCTCGACTGTCACCACGCACGCGCCATACCACGCGCGCGTCATGGCTCGAACGCCCCGGAATCGCCAGCAGCAGCAGTCTGGCTTCGCGCGATCAGCACAGCCCGACCGACCGACGGAGGTCGTCGCGAAACATTCCAGCGCGGCGAAAGCAACGGTTTTGCGAAGGACGTTACATGATTCGCCGTCTTCCTCCCCTTCGCCTCACCTGCCATCCCTCGCCTCACCCGTCTCCTCCCCTTCGTCCTCCTCCCACGCCCCCGCAAATGCCGGCGAAAGAAAAAATCATTTCCGAGGAGCCATAAGTCCGATATACGGCAAACGTACCTTCGCTACAGTCACACCCGCCCCTGGGAAAACCAAATCCCCCGTTAGAAGCGACGGATTGATCCGCGCGCTGTTACTGTACGGCGTGGCGTCGCTCATCCTCCTCCTCGTGCTCATAGGCGAATTGCACCGATCCCACGTGGCTTCGCTCGCCACCGATCCTAGCTCGCAACGGCACCCTCGCTTTAGTCACAAACACCAAACGGGCAGCAAGCTACAAAGTCAACGGAGTCAACAGCAGTACCCGTGGCACGTGCGGATCAGGCATGGCATGTTCCGAAAAATCCCCTCTGGCCTCGCACATTCTCACTCTCACGCTGACGCTCGGTCGGCCTCTGAAGAATATGCTCGTGCTCGTGCTGGTGCCCTAGGATCATCTCAACACACGTTGGACCCAGCGGTACGTTACATTCCTTCCCCCCTCGTTACATCCGATCCTAAATCCTTACACCCCCCCTGTTGCATCCCCACCCCTCCACTCACCCCTTTTTCCTTCCTCGTTACATCCCGTTCCTCCCCGTTTCATCTCTAACACGTACCCTCCGCTGAAACTGCTTGTCCCGGACGTCCTTTACTTTTCTGACCCCCGGTTACATCTCCCTGACCCGCCGTTTCATGTGTGCGCCCCTTGCGACAGCCAGAGCCTCAGCGATTGGCTGCGGGCGCACGGGTGGCGCATGAGCAACCCGCTCCCCGACCCCGCATTCCGCGAGCAGGACGAGGAGGGGGAGGAGGAGGAGGGCGGGTGGGGCGCTCTCATGAAAGAAGGAGCAGCAGCAGCAGCAGCTGGTGATAGTGACGGTGAAGGTGCTGAGGGTGCTGGTGGTGGTGGTGCTGTTGGTGCCGGCACTGGTGGTGCGGATATCGGTGCTGCTGCTGCTGCTGCTGCTGCTGCTGCTGCTGCTGCTGCTGCTGCTGCTGCTGCTGCTGCTGCTGCTGCTGCTGCTGCTGCTGCTGCTGCTGCTGCTGCTGCTGCTGCTGCTGCTGCTGCTGCTGCTGCTGCTGCTGCTGCTAGTGCAAGCAGGCCCGTTACCGACTCGTTATCAGCCGACTCAATACCAGCAGAGTCCAACGCAACTTTCCTGCGCCTGTTACAGCAGCAGGGCGACTACGCATGCGCACTGTGGGTGCGCAACGTGTGCTACGCCTTCAACCCCCTCTTCCACTCCGTGCCCGTCGCCAACCACGAGATTGAAAAGATCATGCTGCGCGAGCGAATCACGGACCGCCACGTGGGCGTGTGGTTCTGGAAGGACCCCAGATACGACCTGTCCCGATTGAACCTCTCTGAAAACATCTGCACGGGGAAAGCTGCTCTCCCGCCGCTTAAAAAGGAGCACTTTTCGAGTGCGGACATACGGGATGTGCCGGAGCTGAGTGGGCGCGTGGGACCGTTTGTGCATGCGAGTGATGCTGAGCTGTTTTTCCTGCACGGCCGCCCGCCTGCTGACCCCGTCCCTGCTGCTGCTGACACCAGCACCAGCGCCAGCACGACTACTAGCAGCAGCAGCAGCAGTGCTTTCTCGGGTAGTGTGTTCACCACTAGCAACGCGTCGTTTGCCATCTCAGCCCAGCGGCCAGAGCAGTGGCGGGGCGTGGGTGTGGTGTCGCTGCGGGACGGCCACCTGGGGCACTTCGTGGAGTTCATAGGCGCCATGACTGAGTTAGCTAGGCACCTGCCCACTGGCAAGAGGGTTAGGGGGGTGCCGGGACCACAAGTGGCAGCGGCAGGCACGGAAGTGCCAGGCAGGGAGGGGGCATTTTGGGGAGGGACGGCTGCTGATGCTGCTGCTGCTGGTGGTGACAGTGCGGATAGTGGCGCTGGTGCTGCTGATGGTGGCGGTGCTGCCGATGCGGCTGCCGCTGGTGGGGATGGTGGAAAGGAGGGGGAGAGGGTTGACGTGCAGCCAGTGCTCTTCTTCCCAAGCGGGTGAGTGAGTGCTCTGCTTCTCTTGTCTCTCCTTCCCCTCTCTCCTTCCCTTTTTTCCTTCCCATCTTCCCGTCTCCACATCCCTCCTTCCTCCCCTCATTCTCCTCCTCTTTTTCCCTCCCCTCACTCGTCTCACTTCCCGTTCCTGCCCTCCCCCTCTACCCACCCCTTTCAGTGCGGGGATATCAAGGTGGGTGGCGGCAGCTGGCACGGTTGCCATGCTTTCTGCTATCTCTCTCTCTCTCTTTCCTTCTCTCTTTCCCTTCTCTCCTCACTCTCCTCCTCCCGCTCCTCTCCCTCCCTTCCACCCCTCTCAGTGCGGGAATATCAAGGTGGGTGGCGGCAGCTGGCGCGGTTGCCATGCGCGGCCCTCAAGCCATGCGGGACTATCAAGGCATGAGAGCCCCCCAAGCCATGCAGGAGCATCAAGGCACGAAAGATCACGCCGGCATGCGAGGGCTGAAGGGCACGAGACAGCAGAAGAAGCAGGGGGGAGTAGATGCAGTAGGGTCAGTAGAGGCAACAGGGGAAGCAGGAGCGGCAGGGTCAGCAGGGCGAGAAGCAGCAACAGCAGCAGCAGGGGCCGCAGTGGCAGCAGCAGAATCACCTCCACCCGCAGTGGAGGCAGGGCGAGTGTGGACCCACACGACGTGCTTCCAGGACGCGTTTTTCCCGCTCTCCATCGCCCACGCGCCCTCCTCCGCTGACCTCTTCCGCCTCTGGGTCGCGCAGGGCGCCGGGCTTGGCAAGACCCTTAAAGCCCAGCAGGCTGATCCGAGGATTTGGACGGATGAGATTGAACGGGTGGGGGCGGGTGGGGGAGGGAGAGGGGCGCGTGGGGCGGGGGGTGAGAGCGAGGGGAGAGGAGGGGGAGGGAGAGGTGTAGGGGGTGGGGGATTGAGGAGGGGAAGGGATGGAGGGGGGAAGGGGGTGGGGAAGGGAGGTGTGGAGAAAAAGGGGGAAGGGAAAGGAAGGGGGAGTCCTGGGGGGGAGGAAAAGAAAGTTGAAAAGGGAGTGAGGAGCAAAGGGGGGGATAAGAAAGATGAGAGACAGGGGAAGAACAATGGGGGGGTTGAGAAGAAAGTTGAGAAGGGAGGGAGCAGAAGTGGGGGGAGTGAGAAAAAATCCAAGGCAAGTGTGATTGGTCGGGTGGGAAGGAATGGGACAGATAGACACAGTGAAAGGGATGGGGGAGGTGGAGATGGTGGGTATGGGGGGAAGAGGAGGAACGAGAGAAAGGAGGGTAAGGAGAGTAGGGAGGGTAAGGAGAGTAAGGAGGGCAAAGCAGTAAATAAAGGGGGAGACCAGAAAATCAGTCGGCATGGCAAGGGAGGGGAGAAAAAGGGGTTTGTTTCAGGTGCTTCAGGTGCTTCAGGTGCTTCAGGTGCCAGAAGAGTCACGGCAAGCAGAGGCAGCGTGAAACCACACTCAAGCAGACACCTGCTGCAGCTGCAGGTGGAAGCGGGAAACCAGAGCATAAAAAGCACAGAATACCCTCCTCTCAGGCGTCTTACAGCGGAGCGGGCGGTTTTTGAGGCGCCTAAGGAATTGCTGCAGCTGCAGGTGGAAGCGGGAAACCAGAGCAGTGGAGGCACGAACCACCCTCCTCTGAGGCGCCTAAAATCGGATGGAACAACAAGCGGGAGCAGCAGAGGGCTGCAGCAGCAGCTGCGGCAGCCGGGGCGTGGGGAGAGTGGGGGGCGGGGAGCGGGGAGGAGGGTGGCATGGCAGATAACGGTGGTGGAGCGCAGGGGCGTGCGCACAATCAGCAACTTCCGCCCCATGGTTGGGCTCCTCCGGACCGTCTTTCCCCGCCTGCCTGTGAAAGTCGTCTCCCTGGAGGTACACTCAACTGTCAACTCTCCTCTCCTCCCTTCCCTTCTCTTCTCTCCTCCCCTCTTTCCCCGCCTGCCTGTGAAAGTCGTCTCCCTGGAGGTACATTCAACTGCCAACCCTCCTCTCCTCCCTTCCCTTCTCTTCTCTCCTCCCCTCTTTCCCCGCCTGCCTGTGAAAGTCGTCTCCCTGGAGGTACACTCAACTGTCAACTCTCCTCTCCTCCCTTCCCTTCTCTTCTCTCCTCCCCTCTTTCCCCGCCTGCCTGTGAAAGTCGTCTCCCTGGAGGTACACTCAACTGTCAACTCTCCTCTCCTCCCTTCCCTTCTCTTCTCTCCTCCCCTCTTTCCCCGCCTGCCTGTGAAACTCGTCTCCCTGGAGGTACATTCAACTGCCACCGCTCATATCTTCTCTCCTCCTCTATTAGAATCCACTCAGGTCCTTCCCTTTCCCCACAACCGTCTTCGCAACAATCCCTGTCAAGGTCTTGCCACCTTTTTCAAACAGGGTCAATTCAGAGGCTTCCCTGTAAGAAGCGGGTAATTTGTTCTCTTTAAAATCCCTTCCTCTTGGCTGCCTCCGTGCTGTGCTGACCCCACGTGCAGGCCATGCCGTTCGCCGCCCAGGTGCGGGCGATGCACCGGACGGCGCTGCTTGTCTCCATGCACGGGGCGTCCATGGCCAATGTGGTGCTGCTGCAGAAAGGGGCGGCAGCACTTGAAATCATGCCGTACATGTGGCACTATGGCGCGTACAAGCGGTAAGTGGGGGAGGCTAGGGGGGGTGGAAGAGGGAATATTGTGGGGTTGGAGAAATTGCGGGTTTGGGTGTCTTGCGGGAATCTCTTGTCCCTGTTGGGTGTTGGCTCCTGCCCTCTACTCTACCCTTGACACTCTATATTTCCCAGCAGTAATCTCTTCATGCGCCGTGCCTCCTTGACTGTGTCTACCTTTGCAGCATAGCACTGCGCTGGGGCGTGCACTACTTAATGTGGCGCAACTGACTTATTTCTTCCTGTGTTCCCCACCCCATCCGCTGCAGCATCGCACTGCGGTGGGGAGTGCACTACTTCATGTGGCGCAACGAGCATCGCAACCTCTCCACCTACACCGACAACTGCCTCGACGCCAACGGCTTCAGCCAATGGCAGCCCGCCAAGTGTCACACAGTCACGGCCTGCAGGGCGTGCATTCGAGATAAGGTGATCCGCTTTGCTGGCTGCCATGGAGGTGGTTGATCAATGGGAGCTTAGGAGGGGGAGATCCTTTGTAGAGCTGTCTGATGACTTGACTGCAGATGGGTAGAGTGTAGTTAGTGACATTCTTACAAGAGCAAATGAGCAAATGACGAGCAAAAAAGCGAATGATGAGATTTAAATGAGCGAATGATTGAATGAGAACGGGAAAATGAGCCAATGATGATATATACCTGTGTAAAGTCGCATACAGTACGTGGAGGAGACGCCTTGTCATGACATACTCCAGCGTACACGCCTTGTCACACGCCAGCACACGCACACGCCTTGTCTTGTCACGTTCCCACACCTTGTCTTCTCATCACCAACACATTGAGGTAAGTGTGCAGCAAGCACCCTGGATGATGGATGGTTCAAGGGGAAGTACCTGCCACTGCCAGCCACTACTGCTGCAGTGTTATAATGTCCCAGGTTCCTGTTACTGCCACTACTGCTGCAGTGTAATAATGTCCCAGGTTCCTGCCACTGCCACTACTGCTGCAGTGTTATAATGTCCCAGGTTCCTATCACTGCCACTACTGCTGCAGTGTTATAATGTCCCAGGTTCCTATCACTGCCACTACTGCAGTTTTACGGTATAATGTCCCAGGTTCCTGCCACTGCCACTACTGCTGCAGTGTTATAATGTCCCAGGTTCCTGTCACTGCCACTACTGCTGCAGTGTTACGGTATAATGTCCCAGGTTCCTGCCACTGCCACTACTGCTGCAGTGTTATAATGTCCCAGGTTCCTGTCACTGCCACTACTGCTGCATTGTTATGATGTCATAGGTTCCTGCCACTGCCACTACTGCTGCATTGTTATGATGTCATAGGTTCCTGTCACTGCCACTACTGCTGCTTTGTTATGATGTCATAGGTTCCTGTCACTGCCACTACTGCTGCATTGTTATGATGTCATAGGTTCCTGCCACTGCTGCCACTGCAGCAGAAAGCACAGCAAGGAGCGTGGTAGCATAGGAAGAAGAATCTCAGGTGTCGGCAGAAAGCAGGTCAAGGTGGGCAATAGAGCAGAAGCAGTGGAGAGCAAGACTGGAAAACTCGAAATTAAACGTAAGCGAAATTCGAGTTGAGGGAGGGGGAAGGAGGGGGGGGAGGGGGAGGGAGAGGGGAAACGGGGAAGGCGCACCACGGATCACCACCACCATGCGCCAAGGGACATTTGCGCCTTGAGATTTGACAAGAGTGAAAGAGACGGATGGGAGCGATGGATGACGGGGGCCTGGGCGGAGAGGCGTGGAGGCTGAACGTGACTCGTCCAAGGCAGCAGCAAGCAGCAGCTTCGCCGTTCCGCACACCGTCGCACGTAGCAAGTAGGAAGCACAAAGAAAAACCTAAGGGAAAGGGAAAGAGCAGGATAGAGGGGGAAGGAGGAGAAGGAAGCAAGAAGGAGCAGGAGGGAGGAGGGAGGGGCTACTGGAGGCGGTTTTGTCATGCGGGTTCTGTCATGCCATGTGACAGAGCAAGCCAGACACATTGAGTGCAGCACAAAGAGACACCAGGCAGAGCAGACAGAACGCAGCAGAGAGAGCAAGAAACAGCAATTGACAGAGCGAAGAGCCAAGAGAGCGCGAGTGCAGTGAAAGGGGGGATCGGGTGCAGTGCAAGGGATGCATATCGTACCATAATGGCATGGCACAGGCGTGGGTTTTAGGGACTGGTGTTGACTGCCCATGCTGCTGCAGCCACCGCTGTGCGTGCCGGGCTTGCATCGTCCCACTGCCCCCCCTCCGTGCTTGCTTGTATCATAACGGCAGCAGTGCCGAGGACTGGAGTTGACTGGCGTTGACTGATTCTGACTGCCGTGCTGCTGCTCTGTCGCCTGCATCCATTCGCCCTGAGGATGGATGGGGGAGAATGCACGGCGAGAAGGAGATGCCAAGAGACTGGCCTCGGGCAGAGGGCATAGGGCAGAGAGCAGAGGAGAGGGCAGAGGGCAGGGCAGAGGGCAGAGGGTAGAGGGCAGGGCAGAGGGCAGAGGACAGAGGGCAGAGGGTAGAGGGCAGAGGGCAGAGGGCATAGGGCAGAGATTAACAACATATAATGAGAAGCAGAAGTGGAAAGAGAGAAGAAGTCGAGTACAAGAGGCTGGGGGATCCGAGCGAAGATGAAAGGAGGAGAATGATGGAATAAAAGGGCAAGGGAGATCTCACCACGTCTGCTGTAGAAACCTTTTGTCGCCCTCCTCTGCTTCCTCTTCACCTCCTCTGCTTCTTCTCCTCCTCCACTGCATCCTCTCCTCCTCCTCTGCTTCCTCTCCTCCTCCTCTGCTTCCTCTCCTCCTCCTCTGCTTCCTCGTATCGTCCTTCTCTTCCTCTCCTCCTCCTCTGATTCCTCGTATCCTCCTTCTCTTCCTCTCATCCTCCTCTGCTTCCTCTTATCCTTCTTTTCCTCTTCTCCTCCTTTTCTTCCTCTTCTCCTCCTCCAGGTGGATCGTTTTCTCTCCTCTGCTCCGCTCATCTTGATTCTTCAAGCTAAAACACTCCTACAGAGACAACCTACAAGCAGCTGCAGCAGCCTACAGTCTACACTCCACAAAAGAGCTGCAGCCTACAACATACAGCCTGTGCCATACATAGAAATACAACCTACAGCCAACAGCCTACAGCAGGCACTATATATCACAGCATGCACTATATATCACAGCAAGAGTTAGAGCAGATCAAGTTTATCCTGACATGACAATTCAAATCTTTCTATTTTGCAAAGTTTCATTCATTGCTTGCCGGATCGTTATCCCATTCTGCCCTGTAGTCAGAGTGGGGTTAGCGTACCTGTAGTTAGGCGCTGCCCTGTAGTCAGAGTGGGGTTAGCGTACCTGTAGTTAGGCGCTGCCCTGTAGTCAGAGTGGGGTTAGCGTACTCACCAGAGCAGCGAGTCCCGCCAGATGAAGCTTCTCACCAGAGCAGCGAGTCCCGCCAGATGAAGCTTCTCACCAGAGCAGCGAGTCCCGCCAGATGAATCTTCTCACCAGAGCAGCGAGTCCCGCCAGATGAATCTTCTCACCAGAGCAGCGAGTCCCGCCAGATGAATCTTCTCACCAGAGCAGCGAGTCCCGCCAGATGAATCTTCTCACCAGAGCAGCGAGTTACACCCTCACCAGTGGCACTGCGCTGCGCCATCAGCAGCACCCTCAGGCACCGAAACATCGCACCCCTCCACCCCAATTGAGTTCACGCTGCTGAACAGAGATGGGTCGAGAGAGGGGGGATGGGTAGAGGGAGGATGGGTGGAGGGAGCAGGTAGGTGAGGTGAAAGAGGCAGGGAGAGGAAATGAGAGAGCAAATGAAGGACAGAACGGGAAAACAGGAGTATTGAAGCAATAACGGATGAATGCATGAATGTGAAGCGAGTGCTGATACTGGATGTCAAACCACTGCTGTGTCGAGTTTCGCTCTTGAAGTGTTGGCTCTCGAAGTGTTGGCTCTCGGTGTGTTACTCCTGAGTGTTGCTCCTGACTGTTCCGCACCTTTTATCCTGGAACCAGGGCATGGGCTGACGAGAGGGAGAAAAAAGGATACGAGATGCAGGAAACTGGTCCAGGGATGGAATAAAGCAGTGAAAGATAATCACAAGCGACAAATGAAGCGAAGGCAGGCAAAACTGGAGAAATTCAGAAGTGAAACCAAGGTGGAAGGATGCAATGGAAACAGAGAGGCGATGGTAGCCCATGGCACTAGGTTGGCGAGCTAGCAGGCAAGTGGGACGAGACGCGGGCGTGAGTGTGAGTGCATTCTAACCCTCTAGGACTCTAGTGTGAGCTCAAGCCGCCCCAGTGCCATGTGCTACCATCGCCACGCGAGCGTTTTTAATACCTTCATGCGAAGGCGGCGTTTTGGTTCGAAGCATGCTTGAAAAGAGAGGCTGGGCAAATGTGAACACGAATTACAAGGTAAAGCGGCGGTAAGGAAGGCAAGGGTTGAGGAGGGAACTTAGCGGGATTCAGAAGCTGCTCGTCGCCTTGTTAATGCCAGCAGCAGCCCTCCCAGCAGCGACACTCCCAGCAGAAACACTCCCAGCAGCAGCACTCAAGGTCGCTGCGCGCGTGAGGGAGCGGCGTGGTCAGCAGGGCATGCAGGAGGCACGCACGCCGCCGTGACTGCCTGCCGTGCGTCATCCCACCGCCCTCCCTCCCCGCACCACGCTGCCACAGCCCTGTGCGAGAGGTGGAAAGTTTTGGAGAGGGAAGGGAGCGAGTGGGAGAGAGGAGAGAAGGCAGAAGGGGGCAGGAATTGAAGAAGTTAGTCTAATATAAGCATGAGTCTAATATAAGCATGGGCGTGACTGACAAAGCGTAAAGCGGCAAGGTTAATGGGAGGAAAACAAAACGGAGGCATAATACTGTGAGAGTAAAAGCTGGAAGTTAAACAACAGGTGGCACAGTGAAAGGGTAGGCGATGGTAGCTCATGGCACTAGGTTGGCGAGCTAGCAGGCAAGGGGGACGAGACGCGGGCGTGAGTGTGAGTGCATTCTAACCCTCTAGGACTCTAGTGTGAGCTCAAGCCGCCCCAGTGCCATGTGCTACGATCGCCACGCGAACGTTTTTAATACCATCATGCGAAGGCGGCGTTTTGGTTCGAAGCATGCTCAAAAAAATGTGAACACGAATTACAAGGTAAAGCGGCGGTAAGGATGGCAAGGGTTGAGGAGGGAACTTAGCGGGATTCAGAAGCTTCTCGTCGCCTTGTTAATGCCAGCAGCAGCCCTCCCAGCAGCGACACTCCCAGCAGAAACACTCCCAGCAGCAGCACTCAAGGTCGCTGGGCGTGTGAGGGAGCGGCGTGGTCAGCAGAGCATGCAGGAGGCACGCACGCCGCCGTGACTGCCTGCCGTGCGTCATCCCACCGCCCTCCCTCCCCGCACCACGCTGCCATAGCCCTGTGCGAGAGGTGGAAAGTTTCGGAGAGGGAGGGGAGCGAGTGGGAGAGAGGAGAGAAGGCAGAAGCGTGCAGGAATTGAGGAAGTTAGTCTAATATAAGCATGGGCGTGATTGACAAATCGTAAAGCGGCAGGGATAACGGGAGGAAAACAAAACGGAGGCATAATACTGTGAGAGTAAAAGTTGGAAGTTAAACAACAGGTGGCACAGCGAAAGGGTAGGCGATGGTAGCTCATGGCACTAGGTTGGCGAGCTAGCAGGCAAGGGGGACGAGACGCGGGCGTGAGTGTGAGTGCATTCTAACCCTCTAGGACTCTAGTGTGAGCTCAAGCCGCCCCAGTGCCATGTGCTAGCATCGCCACACGAACGTTATTTATACCTTCATGCGAAGGCGGGGTTTTGGTTCGAAGCATGCTTGAAAGAGAGGCTGGGCAAATGTGAACACGAATTACAAGGTAAAGCGGCGGTAAGGATGGCAAGGGTTGAGGAGGGAACTTAGCGGGATTCAGAAGCTGCTCGTCGCCTTGTTAATGCCAGCAGCAGCCCTCCCAGCAGCGACACTCCCAGCAGAAACACTCCCAGCAGCAGCACTCAAGGTCGCTGGGCGCGTGAGGGAGCGGCGTGGTCAGCAGGGCATGCAGGAGGCACGCACGCTGCTGTGAATGCCTGCCGTGCGTCATCCCACCGCCCTCCCTCCCCGCACCACGCTGCCACAGCCCTGTGCGAGAGGTGGAAAGTTTCGGAGAGGGAAGGGAGCGAGTGGGAGAGAGGAGAGAAGGCAGAAGGGTGCAGGAATTGAGAAAGTTAGTCTAATATAAGCATGGGAGTGATTGACAAATCGTAAAGCGGCAGAGATAACGGGAGGAAAACAAAACGGAGGCATAATACTGTGAGAGTAAAAGCTGGAAGTTAAACAACAGGTGGCACAGTGAAAGGGTAGGCGATGGTAGCTCATGGCACTAGGTTGGCGAGCTAGCAGGCAAGGGGGACGAGACGCGGGCGTGAGTGTGAGTGCATTCTAACCCTCTCGGACTCTAATGTGAGCTCAAGCCGCCCCAGTGCCATGTGCTACCATCGCCACGCGAACGATTTTAATACCTTCATGCGAAGGTGGGGTTTTGGTTCGAAGCATGCTCAAAAAGAGAGGCTGGGCAAATGTGAACACGAATTACAAGGTAAAGCGGCGGTAAGGAAGGCAAGGGTTGAGGAGGGAACTTAGCGGGATTCAGAAGCTGCTCGTCGCCTTGTTAATGCCAGCAGCAGCCCTCCCAGCAGCGACACTCCCAGCAGAAACACTCCCAGCAGCAGCACTCAAGGTCGCTGCGCGCGTGAGGGAGCGGCATGGTCAGCAGGGCATGCAGGAGGCACGCACGCCGCCGTGACTGCCTGCCGTGCGTCATCCCACCGCCCTCCCTCCCCGCACCACGCTGCCACAGCCCTGTGCGAGAGGTGGAAAGTTTCGGAGAGGGAAGGGAGCGAGTGGGAGAGAGGAGAGAAGGCAGAAGGGTGCAGGAATTGAGGAAGTTAGTCTAATATAAGCATGGGAGTGATTGACAAATCGTAAAGCGGCAGAGATAACGGGAGGAAAACAAAACGGAGGCATAATACTGTGAGAGTAAAAGCTGGAAGTTAAACAACAGGTGGCACAGTGAAAGGGTAGGCGATGGTAGCTCATGGCACTAGGTTGGCGAGCTAGCAGGCAAGGGGGACGAGACGCGGGCGTGAGTGTGAGTGCATTCTAACCCTCTAGGACTCTAGTGTGAGCTCAAGCCGCCCCAGTGCCATGTGCTACCATCGCCACGCGAACGTTTTTAATACCATCATGCGAAGGCGGCGTTTTGGTTCGAAGCATGCTCAAAAAAATGTGAACACGAATTACAAGGTAAAGCGGCGGTAAGGAAGGCAAGGGTTGAGGAGGGAACTTAGCGGGATTCAGAAGCTTCTCGTCGCCTTGTTAATGCCAGCAGCAGCCCTCCCAGCAGCGACACTCCCAGCAGAAACACTCCCAGCAGCAGCACTCAAGGTCGCTGGGCGTGTGAGGGAGCGGCGTGGTCAGCAGGGCATGCAGGAGGCACGCACGCCGCCGTGACTGCCTGCCGTGCGTCATCCCACCGCCCTCCCTCCCCGCACCACGCTGCCATAGCCCTGTGCGAGAGGTGGAAAGTTTCGGAGAGGGAGGGGAGCGAGTGGGAGAGAGGAGAGAAGGCAGAAGCGTGCAGGAATTGAGGAAGTTAGTCTAATATAAGCATGGGCGTGATTGACAAATCGTAAAGCGGCAGGGATAACGGGAGGAAAACAAAACGGAGGCATAATACTGTGAGAGTAAAAGTTGGAAGTTAAACAACAGGTGGCACAGCGAAAGGGTAGGCGATGGTAGCTCATGGCACTAGGTTGGCGAGCTAGCAGGCAAGGGGGACGAGACGCGGGCGTGAGTGTGAGTGCATTCTAACCCTCTAGGACTCTAGTGTGAGCTCAAGCCGCCCCAGTGCCATGTGCTACCATCGCCACACGAACGTTATTTATACCTTCATGCGAAGGCGGGGTTTTGGTTCGAAGCATGCTTGAAAGAGAGGCTGGGCAAATGTGAACACGAATTACAAGGTAAAGCGGCGGTAAGGATGGCAAGGGTTGAGGAGGGAACTTAGCGGGATTCAGAAGCTGCTCGTCGCCTTGTTAATGCCAGCAGCAGCCCTCCCAGCAGCGACACTCCCAGCAGAAACACTCCCAGCAGCAGCACTCAAGGTCGCTGGGCGCGTGAGGGAGCGGCGTGGTCAGCAGGGCATGCAGGAGGCACGCACGCTGCTGTGAATGCCTGCCGTGCGTCATCCCACCGCCCTCCCTCCCCGCACCACGCTGCCACAGCCCTGTGCGAGAGGTGGAAAGTTTCGGAGAGGGAAGGGAGCGAGTGGGAGAGAGGAGAGAAGGCAGAAGGGTGCAGGAATTGAGAAAGTTAGTCTAATATAAGCATGGGAGTGATTGACAAATCGTAAAGCGGCAGAGATAACGGGAGGAAAACAAAACGGAGGCATAATACTGTGAGAGTAAAAGCTGGAAGTTAAACAACAGGTGGCACAGTGAAAGGGTAGGCGATGGTAGCTCATGGCACTAGGTTGGCGAGCTAGCAGGCAAGGGGGACGAGACGCGGGCGTGAGTGTGAGTGCATTCTAACCCTCTCGGACTCTAATGTGAGCTCAAGCCGCCCCAGTGCCATGTGCTACCATCGCCACGCGAACGATTTTAATACCTTCATGCGAAGGTGGGGTTTTGGT